ACACTACACAGCTGCTGCAGCTAAAGCTAAACCTACACAGCTGCTGCAGCTAAAGCTAACTCTACAACTGCTGCTGCTAAAGCTAACACTACACAGCTGCTGCAGCTAAAGCTAACACTACACAGCTGCTGCAGCTAAAGCTAACTCTACAGCTGCTGCAGCTAAATCTAACCCTTCACAGCTGCTGCAGCTAAAGCTAACCCTACACAGCTGCTGCAGCTAAAGCTAACTCTACAACTGCTGCAGCTAAAGCTAACTCTACAGCTGCTGCAGCTAAAGCTAACCCTTCACAGCTGCTGCAGCTAAAGCTAACGTTACACAGCTGCTGCAGCTAAAGCTAACTCTACAACTGCTGCAGCTAAAGCTAACTCTACAGCTGCTGCAGCTAAAGCTAACCCTTCACAGCTGCTGCAGCTAAAGCTAACCCTTCACAGCTGCTGCAGCTAAAGCTAACCCTACACAGCTGCTGCAGGTAAAGCTAACCCTTCACAGCTGCTGTTGCTAAAGCTAACCCACAGCCCTTCTGAAGTTAGCACTGCCTGTCAGTAGCCCTGCTGCTGTAGCAGCTGCTACTGCAGGGTTCAGAGCTGAAGCTCACCTGGACAGAGCAGCGTGTTTGTCCATGCGGGCCTTGTAGTCTTCGTTCTCCTGCTGGACCTTCTTCAGACTCTCCTCCAGCCTCACRTTGGTCTCCACCTGAAACACAAACCGGACCCACATGAAGTCCTGCAGGAGCCTGCTCAGACCAGACCCAGAGTCCTGATACGGACCAGCGTGTCCATGTCCATCAGCTTCTTGTCCTTCAGGTGCAGCTGGTTGTTCTTCATGTCCAGGACCACCTTCAGACTGTCCAGCTCCTGCTGCAGGTACAGGCTGTGGGAGTCCCTCTGCTCCAACACACAGCTTCAGTCACTTCGTGCTCTGAGCAGCAGGGGGCGCTGTGGCCCAGCACAAAGACCAACACAACATTAGCTTTTCTTTAGCTCACCAGGTTTTTGTCGCTCAGGATTCTCTGCGTCCTCTCCTCCTCTGCTCGCAGTTTCTCACTCAGGTCCTGGTTTTCTGCTGACAGCTCACAGATCTTCTCCTGCACTCAGAAGAAAACAGGAACTAAAACCAGGAGCTTCAAATCAGCTGTTTGTCCTGAAGACGTTCTGCAGAACTCACAGCCAGAGATGTTTCTGTGTCCTTCAGGGTCTGCTGCAGATCCTCCAGGTGGCTCTGCTGGACCCTCTTCAGCTCTGAAACAAACAACAGTCAGAACCAAGCAGGTTGTGTGTGAGACTAGAGGAGGTCCTGCACACACACCCTGGATGCAGTTCTGGTAGTCCTGGCCCAGACACTCCAGCTCCTGACTGTGAATCACTTCCTGGTTCTTCTTCTCTGCTTCCTGTTTGCTCCTCAGCTCTTCCACCTGAAGGAAACAGACGTGTTTCAGGTTCTATGGATGGACCGGGTCACCCACTCCGCTGACCATAAGACCTGGTTTTATTGGATCAAAAGGTTTTACAGGACCTGGTTCCAGACTCACCTGCTGCTCCATGAAGAGYCGACACCTGTCGGCCTCCTCCTGGTACACCTGGTGCACCTTGTCCCACTCTGTCTGGTAAAAACTCTTCAACCTGAAACACAGAAAAACATGAACAGGCAGGTCCACATCTGGACCCCAACAGGAACCAGARCTGTCCTCTGGGACCACCTGAGCCCACAGAAACACCTGGAGGAGACCAGGTGATGAAGAGCCTGACTCATTCTGAACTCACCTGTTCTCCAGTTGAACCAGGTCCTCCTGATGCTCCACCTCCAGCCTCCTCAGAGCCGCCTCCTTCTCCTCCTGCAGCTGCTGGCAGGTCTGGGAGGAAGCCACTGATGAAGAGGAGCAGAGAGTTGGTGTGTGTGTGTGTGTGTGTGTGTGTGTGTGTGTGTGTGTGTNCTAAGGCTAACCCTACACAGCTGCTGCAGCTAAAGCTAACGCTACAGCTGCTGCAGCTAAAGCTAACTCTACAGCTGCTGCAGCTAAGGCTAACCCTACACAGCTGCTGCAGCTAAAGCTAACGCTACAGCTGCTGCAGCTAAAGCTAACTCTACAGCTGCTGCAGCTAAGGCTAACCCTACACAGCTGCTGCAGCTAAAGCTAACGCTACAGCTGCTGCAGCTAAAGCTACCTCTACAGCTGCTGCAGCTAAAGCTAACTACACAGCTGCTGCAGCTAAAGCTAACTCTACAGCTGCTGCAGCTAAAGCTAACTCTACAGCTGCTGCAGCTAAAGCTAACTCTACAGCTGCTGCTGCTAAAGCTAACTCTACAACTGCTGCAGCTAAGCTGCTGCAGCTAAGGCTAACCCTACACAGCTGCTGCAGCTAAAGCTAATGCTACAGCTGCTGCAGCTAAAGCTAACTCTACAGCTGCTGCAGCTAAGGCTAACCCTACACAGCTGCTGCAGCTAAAGCTAACGCTACAGCTGCTGCAGCTAAAGCTAACGCTACAGCTGCTGCAGCTAAAGCTAACGCTACAGCTGCTGCAGCTAAAGCTAACGCTACAGCTGCTGCAGCTAAAGCTAACGCTACAGCTGCTGAAGCTA